TGCCACCGACTAGCCAAAAGTTCTGATTGAAGGCACTCGTGCGTAGGACCATTGAGGAGGTTCTGCCCAACCTGGACGTATATGGTTTGTGGAACCAAGTTATTAGGAAGTAGTTGGAAAATCCAAAAAATTTGATAGGGGCGTGCCGCGACAAATCGGAAGGTCGTTCCTCAATTTCTAGCTTGTTTTATGTGATGTGACTCGCTTTCTACTAATTTGCGACGTACAATGAAGAAGGGATTATTTTCTACAGCCCACGAAGCTTTGCTGAATAGCTCGACGGCGATCAAGCTCTACAAACTTTGCAAAACTTAAACTGTGCTGAAGGAGGGTTATGGCAACTTTCATCAAGTCAGCGGCTGGCCAAGTTCCCCGTATCAGGTGGAACTGTTACAGTTAACATTATGTCAAATTCACCAAAATCTTCAAAATACGGGTTCAGCATTTCTCATTATAAAGGGACGGACACATCTCTGACAGTTGTCCACGTCGCACAACCAACCCTGCACAAGTTGGTCCAGCTAGGCTAAGAAGGGGTGCTGCAGATATCTACTCAGTATACCTCTGGCTATCAACTGTCACTTTTTTGGGGCCTCGATAGTTCCCTTGAAGAGAAATGCTTCAAAACACAACCCGATGCTAAAACGACCTTCCCTCAGTTCATCGCCTCCAGAGCTCCAGCATTCTGAACAAACGTACCACTGAAACGGCTTCTTATAGCGAAGGTTCGCGCATTCAAATGGTTTTTATTTCAACTCGAAAGGTTTGGTTTAAGCCGAGATACATGCATTTGAAATTCGGGGTCGGAAAACGACAGAACTTTCTGAAACGCCTAATAGAATGCGTGCCGCACCCCAAGAAGGGATTGATCAACAGCAAATGCTTTATCCTTTATCCTTATAATGTGATACCTAACATGTAGGGCAGCTTATTCGGAGACCAAAATTTGCGCTTGCCTGCTTGACAATGTAAGAAGAGGTCCTAAATTGAAAGTCTTCTTTGTGAAGTCGAACGTGATATCACTGTGAGTCACATCATGCCGAAGAGAGAGCACACGCGGGAGAGCACATCAGCGGCGAGAGCACACCAGAGGGTGAAATCGTGTCGAGGAAATAACCGCCTCTTTACGACCCCCCCTCCAAAACATGGACTCTGATACGACCCCTTTTTGTCCTCTGCACATCCGGTTTCATATCAAAAAATGCTAGTTTCAGATGTGCGAGAGGGACGCAGCGCCACTGCCACGCAAATGCGGCTTGATCCAAATGCTAGATTCAATTCTGCTCAGATTAGGTTCTCCTTCTTTCCTTTAAAGACATTTAACCTTTGCCACATTGGCCGGATAAGTAGAACATTGAAGGAGGCACTGCCTCTACACAGTTGAAAGTCTCGCGCTCCAGTATAGCGGCGCTAACTACCCGCGATCGCGTCGCGCGCTGTGCCTAGAGCGCGCTAGTTGGAAAAATCGTCAAATGTACCCCCTATTTAAAGGACTATAACTTTCTTCATTGATAACCATTTCAAAAAGTGAAGGCAGCTTTTGAATGCACAAGACTTCTAGTTTCTAAATTGTGCTGCTGGTAGGTTTTCGTTAAAGAACTATTCGTTGGGACGGTGGGAGACGGTCGAAAATTGTACGAGAAAGTTGAATTTCATGCGAAGTTGCCACTTAGGAGCACGTTGTCTCTTATTGAATGCGTTGGAATCGAGTAGCTTGTAAGTAGAGATCACGCTTCTAACAGGTGTTCATTGTTTCAACGCTTTCTAGTTCGCGAGAAATCTGCGTCGAGGAAATGTCAAGGAAATTTTCGAAGCACTCGAAAACTCTATTACTCCCTCGCCGTAGTAGGGAACTTCTTTGAACACCTTCAAAATACTTCTGTACACGTCAGTTCGATGGAGTAAATTGAAAATGATGCACTTGGCGCAGATCCATTCCGTTCTTGTATGCGCCATGCAGTGACCCCACTCGGAGTCATTGGGAAGGTGTTTTGTCCTAGTGACGACTTGCTTAAGCACACCAAAAGATATTTCCAGTATTAACTAATTAGGATAACTTTGTGGTCATAGTGATGTCTGATCATTCCTTTATTCAAAATCGCTTCCTTTCCAACCCGTTCTGATGAATGACAGCTTGCGGTTGCAGGATCTGATGATGCCAAGAAGGCTGCGAATCTGCCTGTTTTGAACTTTCTACCAAGATGCTGTTCTCTCCACTAAGTTCTCAAAGCATGTACATCATTCTAGAGTACTCGCTGCCCTTTCCCTACGATTCTTTTGCAGGACGCGTTGCCTTCCTATGCCACATTGATCACTACGAACCAAACCAACACCCACTTTCCACTTGAATTTTAATTCCAGACAGGTGTAAGATATTATTTGCATTAGGCTAACTACAACACTTGTGAAAGTAATGATGACAACAAATAAGTGGCAGCAGCACCGTTGTGTCCGTTGATGACCCTTTTGATTACGACCCCCCCAACTCTCATCGGAGCAAATACGACCCCCTGTCGAGGATTTCCTCGACCGTTATTCACCCTGGACACCATCGCAGGCGGGCTTGCAATGCGAGCATACGAGAGTGCTAAGCGCCGCATATAATACAAGCCAAGCAGGATCACGTGTGTGGTTATCGTTGAGTTGGACACCACCCCACTTCTAGAAGTCCACCTATCACTTCACGCCCCTTCCTGCTAGTCACCATGTTGTCAGTTTTGATCTTTCCTATCGACCGCGAGGAACCCCACCACGAGAAATTGGCCATCCAAACGCAGGGTTTGATCTGCCGGTATATGTGTGTGTCTCCCAGCGCCCATTCGACCCCTAGGAATGGCTACTCTGATTGTCGGACAGGTGGGCTGCGTTACTCACGAAAGGGATTACTCTGGAATCTGGGACTCTTGTAATATCGCGAGTGGTTTTACCAGGTAAATGAGGGTGAACACTCTATGTGTGGAGCGACACGCATTCCAAGCTGGCCACTCGGCGATAACATGGTCGTCCTCGCCGCAATGCCCCTCCGTTGTCAGTCCGGCTCTGCTGCTTGCGAGAGATTGCGTTGTTAGATCAGCAATGTGAGATAATGCGCAAGTGAGCGCGGCGGCAGGAGGTCCGCTTCTTCTGGATTGTTTTCTTGTTATTTTTTCATCCCTGCATCATGAAGTATCCTGCTTGATTACTGGGTTTCTTTAGCTTGGCTCATCCTTCGATTGAACATGTCCTTCCAGGAATTTATATTCGTGCTACAAATCAATTACCAGAGGAGTTCGAAACGTCACTCTACTACAACGGTTTATTAATGAGCCTCACAGCCTTTGAAGAAAAATAGTTCAGTACATGTATCAGCGAAATGACCGACACACCAAGAAATAATCCGAGTTGCCCACCAATCTGTGAGATGAAGCCCGGATAGGAGAGCATAGCGATCTCCTCGTATTCCTCATACTGCAATCAAACATTGAGTGAATACGTGGTCAAATTTGAAACTCATTGTGACGTACACTGAGGTCACCATAGAACAACGTCGAGGCGGAACACGCCGAGGTTCTTCTCCACGGACGTCCAGTACTGAAAACCCTGGTCCCATCGGTCACAGTTTGGATCGCACTAAAACAATACATACACAGAGGTCAAGAATGTAGGGAAAATAATTGTAGCAGAAACAGCAGTAACACCTTCCGCACTTTCACGAAGAAAACACTCAAGTAAACGCTATGTAGCTACCAGAAATTAGGGAAACAGTCAGTGGACAAATCCTTATTGCAGCAATTCGAATACTGATGTGTTCTACGGATTCCAAGAGATCTGTTTTTTTAATTGTTTTTCATCCTGTTCTTTTTTTCTTATTTTTATTTATTATTTTCCAATTCGACACATTACAACAACCCGGTTCCTTCATTTCAGCGCCGTCAGAACATATTGTCGAACTGTAATAGCGCCGCTGATTTTGTGAATCTCAATTACTGTAAAGAATACGAAAGATCAGCGTTGAGTTCACTATTATACATCCTATGTGCGGTGCGTACAATCTCTTTCGATTACGCAGAAAAAAGTCTTCAGAGTAAAGCTCGAATTTGATGCCATCCTCATATAAGACAGGAGGCCCGTCGTGCGGCAAGAAGGCAGAGCCAGCGGCCGAGTCGCAGCGCGTGCCGTTCAATGCGGGACGTACAAACTGCTCAACTAACACGAAATTACACAGTATGCGTTGCGACTCGTCGCTGACTCTGTCTTCTTGCCGCGCAACGGGCCTCCTGACGGATACCCTTGAGGCACTGCACGCTGACGCAAAGTTGCGCTGCCCTGCAAGCATTACAGCTGAGCATCGACTCTATCAACATCTCTCTTACTGAATTTAGCACTCATACATGAGAGAGCGCCACCGGCCCGGGGTGCTCCCCAACCGATTGTCTCGCCAAGGTAGCGTTCATGGTCGAGCGACTCAGTCGTGAAATTGAGTAAAGCGTTTGAATCGTGTGACTTCCGCTTGTGTATCGCATCCCAAATGATGATCCTTATGAAATTCTGCTTGGCTCGGTCTCGGAGCAAGCGACAGAGCGCGACAATGTACATCAGTTCACCAATTAACAGAACTTTGATCAAAGAAACCATGGGATGCAGAAATCAAAAAAAACAAAAACAAAAGGGTTCGAGATCGCGCCTACGGCGCGCAGCATCGCGAGGGTGGTACTGCCAAGGAGCCTTGCCCAATAGAAGAATTCATGGAAAATCAAGATTCAAAAGTGCCAAACGCTCAACTCAATCGCACGATTCAATCGAAATCGTGGAGTTGAGCAACTCATCGCACGCAACTGGGTCGCCGAATCTATAAACACTATTACTTAAACGTTCGGCTCAAATCAGATGATGCACAACTTCCTGATATGTCGCCCACGAAAATCGTCACGTAACTTTACGCTTCGTTACGTCATACTTTCATTTCACTCACCCTGTTTTGAAGTGTGTATGCAGTGATAATCTGTCGGTAATTCGCGATGACGACATGTGGACTGCAAACTTCGTAGCCCGTCGCGGATCGTAGGTCGCGCATTGCCGGAAGAGTGCAGTTGAGCGGATGCAGTAGATTCTCCTCCAGCCATCGATTCACATAACAAGTTGCACGACCTGAGATGTAGTATAATTCCCCATTGATGCGTATGGGTGGGAGCTGCTCGCTTTCAAAGTATCAGCAATAAATGTGTTATTATCACCAGAAAAGAGGGGCTGGAAAAAGGGAGGATGTCTCGCTCGTACCACAGCACGCGATGGACTTCTCAGGGAACTTTTTTACCTGTAGGAGTGCCAACTTCAGAGATAGTGGTTGTTCAGAGATATGCAGATTTGCATCTACCATGCAATAATCAGCCTTCAACCATTTTCTACGCTTGAGATGAGACCTATGTATATACGCTGCTGTTGAAGTTGAAGAGACAGTGTCTCAACTGCTCAAAAGAATATTGGAACAACGTAGTCGCCCTATTTGGAATACCAAAGATGAGGCATACAGCTAACGTAAAAGGAAGAGCTGATTCACCTCAGTTGCCGTGACGCTTCTTTGAAGAGGCTCAACGGAAATAGGGTTCATATTGATCGCCCCAGTGCCTACCATTTCGGAACTCTAATCGTATCTCACTTAAAGACAAACCCCGGAGATAAAACTGGTGTATAAGAGTGCTCCGTAGTGATGATGAGCTGCGGAAGGAACTGAAAGTGGAAGGAAGAGCAAGAGAAATCATCGGAAACGCTAAAATTTAGACCTTAACCTACAGCAACCTCGGATGTGGTACGATGGCAAGACAGGGAGAAGACAGACCACGCGAGAGAGCACGCTGATCTCTATATCGATGCGGTGGGTGGGAAGCGTTGCAGCGAGGGTCGATGGTTGCAGGTTCGTAATGGATTAGCGCCCTAATCGCGCAATTTGGGCAACGAAGCTGGCATGATCTATGAAGGTACGGCCCCACAATTTCCCTCGCGGTATCCCCCTACTAGTCGGGCTAATCCCGGGTTTGCCTTTAAGCTCTCCATAAGGTTGAAGTTTTCCTAGGAAATGAAAAGAGTTGCTTTAAGGACGCAATTTCTTGGTTTACAGCATAGGTAAACATTTTTCATAGTTTGTTGAAAATTTTTACGGGTTATAAAAGATGGTGCATCATATGCTGTGCTTCCCACGCCGACCTACCTGTCCTTCCATGACTGTAACTTCGTAAGTTTTTTTTATGGAAACCTAATCTGAAACTTGCAGGTTGTCTAGTGATCACAACTGACATATTCTTGCTGGGGAAAAAAGCGAGGGGTTTTCGGGACGCTCTTTTAATTTATGAAGGGTTGAAGTCTCAAAAAACATATAGCATAAGGTTACTATATGGAATATTAATGCTCACTGCTGTATGGTCCACCATAAGATGAGATGAAAGATGAGCTAGGAGAAATGCACCTATACGCGTATAGGGGATGTAGGCGAGTTACATCTATGTATGACAATACATCAACGCACACATTGGAAAGAGTTGTTTCCATTCCCGAAAGCGAGAGATGCATATTCGTTCAGTCCACCTCTGCTGTGTGGATCTATTGAACAGGACGTCTTCTCGCATCTATGTTACTTTCACTTCAGACCTGAATTATGCCAGGCGAAATTAGTCTTGGTAACGGTAAATACGCGGGAAGATTGCGATTTCAGGCCACTGGTCGCCGAAGTAGATGGCGTATTGTCGCTGTAAAAAAAGGATTACGTATGTTTCAAAAACCTAGACTGATCCTCTCATTAGCTACGGTCAGATTCAAGGCAGAGCTGTCTCGAGCTAGATACACATTTTGCTTTCGTTACTGCGAGTACAGAGTATAGTTCTTTTTCTTTATACGACAAGTTAACTTATCTCATCGAGGGGAATCTTCTCTGTAAACGTCAAATCAAAGTGAATCTCACTCAGATGAAGGCAAGCCTCAGGATCAAATTGGTGTGATTCTTACACAAGAGTGTGAATGTATTGTATTGGTATGAAATGGTTGAAAGTGAAGAAAAAAGGAAAAGAGTCGTGGAGAACGCCATTTAGGTCAATAAAGGGCCTAATAAGGGTTTACTCCTTTTGTAAGGCTGGTTGTGCCATGGAAATTGAGAGGAAGCGAGGAGTAGGCGGGGGATAGGTGAAGGGCGCAAATGAAGCCTGAATGAAGTAGGAAATTCAGGCTGCTGCAGCTCACTTTGGCAAGGGTCTCTAGCGCTCTTGTGAAGGAATAGGCGGGAGGAATACGCACATCTGTGACTGTCTCCTAGGGTCTTTCTACAGACAGAGGATCGTTCACACATTTGCCTGAGATGGCGAATTTGAAAGCAAGTCTGCATGGCTTAAGAATTATGTTATTTGATTCTCAATAAAAATCATTGCTTACGGATTTAACCGTGAAGATCAGATATTTCGTCCCAGGTCTCAATAGGTCTGAGCCTCCAGCCTTTTTCGTCGTACGGATGAAACATGATGAGCGGCTGGAAAATTTGGTCCTATCTCTCTGTTAAACATAGCTTACTTGTTCCGAGCCGTCGATCAGTAGACTTTTGGGTTTCTTGAAATTCAAGCGTATCGCACTCGACTGACCAGCAGACGTTTTTGAGAGTAGTTATCTCAAAGCGCATACACCTGAAAAGCGACTGGACATTGCAAATTAAGCCCAGTAGATACGAAGTTCATTATTGCATAGGGAAATTTGAGTCACAATAGCGCTCTTAAAAAATCTGGAACTCCTTCAAACTTTCTTAAGCGAGGAGGGAAATTTGCCCCACCATTACGTGAAAGATCTAACAGACAAGCTGGGCGAGCTTCTTTTTTAAACATCGAACGGAGAAAGGGCACTAGAGGTGCCCCATGTCCCAGTTTTTAAATCAGAGCGATAGGATGGTAAGCTCTGGGTTCTAATAATGCCATGGATGACCCCTTGTGCTGGTGCTGCTGCGCCATCTTTGATCCCAAATTAAGGTTAAACTTATGGTCCACCACTAAACTTGCTCGGTGAAATCGTGCAAAAGTGTATTTTCTACCCTATTTGCTGCCTAGGGTTGTGGTATTACAGAATGCCGGAAACGTGACATTTCCTTTCTTTACATCGTTTCTGAATCTCTTTTTTTTTTAACTTTTTCATACCTTTCATGGTATGCTGCGGTTTTTTCTAGGTTTCAGTAGCCAAGCAAGGAAGTGGCGCAGTTGAGTTGGGTTTTTTTTTCGAAGAAAATTAAGTTGGAAGAAGGGGGGCCATTTCGATATTGTACTTCCTCACACTAAGAAAAAGGATTAAGGCGTAGACACTATTTCAGATATACTATATAGTTATGTAATGTGATAACCCAGGGAGGCTTTTAGGCTCAAAATCATAAGAACCGTGGGATTTTTTGACTCCACTCGCCTCGTTTCCTTGGAAGCTGACTCACCTTCCACGCAGCATTACATAGTGAGGCTTGAAGTGCTCGCAGCATTTCATCATTACACAGTCGGAGAAGACCTGAACTGAAAGACATCAAAATCCAATTAAAAAGTGTGTTGCTTTTACTCACATCATCACATTTTATTCCATTCATCATGAACACGAAAGTGAAACATCTCTATATTGAGGCGATTTCTCGATGCCATTGATGGCAAGCGCACAGGCCAAATAAGCCGATATCTTTAGTCGACGACCAAGTTTCAACCTTTGTGTTCAGGAAAACCACAAGCTGCTATGAAATAGAGAAGAATGTCTCTTTTCAAGTCGAACGTCACAGGACCGAACTCTTTGTTCGATATCTGAAAATGTTTCCCTCAAAGAATCGAAGCAAGGGATGCCAGAAGGAACCACGAAAAGAAAGGGAAATGCAGGATTTGTCAAAAAAGAAGTGAAATACGTGGGTGAGAGGATGAACAAAATATAAGAATGAGAGAGAAGAAAACGTCAGGGCATGTTCTATGGGTAGAGAATTCATTTATCTTTTCTTAATTTCAGATATATTTATGTATTGTGGGTGAACCACAGCTCGCAAATCACAGCTGTAAGCCCCATAAGCGTTAACCATAGCGTTGAGGCTACAGCCGACGCTCACTACCAGCTGGATCGGCCGATCGAGCTCATGTTATGCGCACCTTTTTTCTTATCTTCCATTCATTGGAGTACTTACCACTTTGAATTGATTGTAAACTCCGAACTACCCTTACCTGCAAAAAGGACCTCGTAGTTGAGATGATCCGGATTTTTCGGACAGACATGAATACTTGGTAGAAGTAGCGAATCATTCTGAACGTACCAAAATTATCTGTATACTTCTCATCAAGTCAATACAGCACAATGTTGATAGCCATGCCATGTAGTTCAAACGAGATGCCGGCAAATGTGCATGGAAACGTTAAGCTTTCCATCGCCTTACGCTTACCTATAGGGAAAGTTTCTTACAAGGAATTGTCAATTGGTCGGTCCGGCCATTTGAAATGAGGTGTAGCCCGATGCACGTGTCTTGCGACGCCGATTCTCTGAACGAAGTTATGAGGAATTCTTCTCACTGTGGCTATCTCACTGTGGCGCCCTCTACATCCCCTATCCCACTTGGCTCGCGTAAAAACAGAACGAACGAACAGAACGCATAACAGAATAACCAATTATAAACGCTTTCTGGGCTCGTATGAGCAGCCTTGAAAAAATGCAAAAGTTTGCACCGACAAGGATTCGAACATATGACCTCACCCCTATGAAGCAAGAGCGCTATCCACTAGACCACCATACCACTGCATAGATGCTCTGCGGCTCTTCTTATGCGAGCCGAGTGGGACAGGGAATGTAGAGGGCGCCACAGTGAGAAGAATCCCTCGTAACTTCGTTCAGAGAATCGTTCGGCAAAAACCGAAAACGGATTTGAGCTCAGCGTCGCAAGACGCGTGCATCGGACTACACCTCATTACAAATGGCCGGACCGACCAATTGACCATTCCTTGTTAGTGGTAAGTGACACCGAGGTCGATGTCATGTTGGGAAAACTTTAGTTCGCATTGAATCATCCCCTTGCTATAACCCCTTCTCCCATAGCGGTCGATGGTGCCTATGGTGTCGCTGAATCTGCGTACACTATCACTTGCTACACTCCGACTACGGTACGAAATTCCTTCAAACCACCGTGAATCGGGAACAGATAGAAGGAAAATGGTTTGTGGAAGAGGAGGAGGCATGGACGGCGCCTGCAACAGCGAGGATTACACATTCTGTCCGTTACGGCCTCTTTTCTATGAGGTTTTTGAGAAAAAGTTTCTTCAACTTCGAAAATTTCCTTGTTTTAGAGGGATTCTCACTTTACCAACCCATTTGAAAAAAAAATCCCGAAAAAGACCCTTATCTGAGAATTGCTAACAGAATACCGTGGAATTCATCATGCTTCAGAGATGGCAACATAGTTCTCCCAACTCAAACTTTATAATACGCTCCGCACTGGGTGTGCCGAAGGTAAACCACAGCTGTAAGCATAATCGTAACATCGATTGCTGACCAGTCATTCTCGAAAATATGGACCTATTCGACAGCAACTATGATGGCCTTCCACCAATATGTTTGTCCTTATGAATTGGGGACCTTTCGGTGGTATTATTTTCCCATGACTAATTTATCTTGCTACGTTATGGCCCACTCTGTATGCAGAGAATGTAGCAACCCCCTAGTGACATCCAAGGTCGGTGTCAGACTTTGCGAATCCAGCGATTCGATTAATAGTGATTCTGTAGCTAGTAGCTTGAGTGCGGTGATTTTAGTATTCCCAAAAATGCGTTCAGAATCTCACACTATAGGAAAAAAACCAGCTTTACACCAGGATGGCTAAAGATGAATTTTGTATAACAAGTGAGGAATATGAAAGTTAAATTTTTGTACCTGTATAACTGTTAAATGCGTTATGGTTTGGTAGGCGAGATATTCGACGAGTACATAATACGTGAAGAAAAGTGCCACCACAGTAACCACAAACATCGCGAAACTCCACAAAAGCCGTTGAGAATGGTAAACCTGGCGAGTACAATAATTTTATTTGTTTAGACCAATACGTTCATCTTATTGCGTATTTTTCATCATCAGCCTAAATTGAGTTATTCCTTTTGAAAAAAAAGATGGCTGGCAGCTTCAGGCCAGTGTCAGACTGCGACTCTAAACAAAGCTTTTGCCCCAGCTGGGATTCGTGGCCGGATCTCTTGCTTTCCGGGTAAATGTGCTACCATTTACGCCACTGAGGCACCATTTCACCCAACTCACTGCCAGCTTCGAAAGTAAAGATACTATGATGGAAGATTTTTGATTGTTCTTATAGGGGATCTCTACGTTCCATCCGACTGCGTTTTAACGATCTCGTTATTAGGTTCTCCCTTCTCACCTGCCTCTTTTCTGTGAAGAACTGCTGGTGTGACGGTAAGGTGACTCTGCACCATTTACATATTTTGCTACTCACAGAGGATATCCACATGTCACCATCACATTCACACACTTATTTTCGTAAAATATGTTGCATGGGTCCCGGATGAAATGGGTAAAGCGACCCACTTTGCCGTGATCTTGAAGTTTGAAGTCGCACCATAAGTTGTACGCAGTGTCAACGAGCAAATCTGCCTTCTAGATGTGTATAATTTAGAAGAAAAAAGATGAAGATTCACCTCGCCGTAGAGCCGCAATCCATGAAATGGCAGTGGTTTGTGAGCTGACGAAGCGCACTTCAACTGGAATTGTCGACAGAGTTGATGCAAACGTGCCTTGCGATGTGCTCCTCATAAATCTGACACATGAATGGTAAGAATAGTGCGTTCAAACCTTGGAACTCATTTTTCTCAACTTGAATTACTACGAAGAAGGGGGTTGTGGGTTAGGAACTCGAACCCTTAAGCGATAGATAAGGACACCTCATATCCGAGCACAGAGTTTGCGCTATACATGTGTCTGGAGCTATGTGGTAAGGCGCATAATTTCCACTGATGCATATTGTCCACCCTTACCTCAAATTTTCAAAAGCAGTCTGAGGAGGAGAGTAGTCAAACCGGACAAGGGTGCCTACTTCCCCGTTACAAGCATCTTAGGCACTATTCACAAGATAAGGAAATCGAGTCGTTACTGCCAGGGGGAGTGCGGGATTCGGTCCGGGAGAAACCTTATTTGATTATTATGAAGCAGTCGCAATGGATATATAGGTCAGAAGTATATTGTGTGCTAGAGCTTCTTTTCAATTTTGAGGCGTTTTCAAGAAATTTCGGAATTCATTCAATAAGTTCCACCTTTCATTATCGTATACGTATGCAGGCTTCATTCCGCCCCCTCCACAAGAAAAGCAAGAATGGGAACGAGTTGTTGAAGAAGCTGCTTGAAAGAAAGAGGCTGAAAATTGTAAAGGTCCTTGGAAAATATTCCGGCACCAAGCTTGACCCAAATACTGTGCAGTCTCCCGTCTGGTGCAGCGCCGGTCTGAGCTCGATCTGATGGGGAACTGATAGTGAGTGAATCTTGGCGGTATCCCTCTAGTGGTCTTGAATTTGTGAGACTTCTCTCCCTATTATTTTACGTTACCAGCACAAATGGGCTTTCAAGATACCAAATAGGTAGAGCTGAAACACAAAACAGTTCCAACCCAAGCTTTTGCTCAGAAATGGGGACCTTACATACGTCTGAACAAGAATATTTTTTCGGACTTATGTGGTGCTGGTTGCACCTGACTGACTGATTGTCTGAATTCAGGGTGGGGTAGGAAAAAAATAAGCGGCCCAAAATTCACTCAACTCGCTTGGAACCATTGATAACGGAAAGGCACCAGATCCATTGCGCAGGCTTTGATCTTGCTTCTTAAACTGTCCAATACACCGAGGGCTGCACAAATTTTTAGTTTCCCATCCCAGTTCCCCATTCCCATCCCTACCTTAATAACGTTTTCATGAACTTTCGAAAAGAAAAACTTACTTGGATGCGCTCGTCAAGGAGTACATGTTGCGGAATGGTTGCTCGGATAGGGTATGTAGGGGGAAGTAACTCAATACATCTGCACTCAATTCTACAATGACACTCGATCTCTGCTCTTGAGTCTTAAGAACCTAAGCGCTATAGGTATTTCGGCGAAACGTTGAGACCCTGCAACTGTTGTCACGTATGCACTGGAAGCCGCGATCGCAATTATGAGGCATATATTTCGTCCTAATATTATACAGTGAAGAAAAGAAGGAACTTGCAAAAGGCGTGGCTTAGTCACTATTGAAATCTTATATGAATCGTCCACGGAAAAATCCGTGATTTCATCACCCAGAAATCACTGGCTTGAGGTCCTTGATTCACGATGAGAATGAAAGGAAGAAAAAATTGTGTTTGTTTTCGTAAACAATCAAAAACCCCACAGTACTGTTACGCGTTCATCTCCTCGCCAAACACCTCTCATAAATAATGGCGGGAACGATTCCACTTGGTTATCAAAGTGCTTCATTTACGAACTCTTTTTGGCCTTTTCCATCCATAGCAATATATTCTTCTTTTCTACTGCGTCTATTCTATCGGTCGTTTTGTCTCCATTCTTCGATTTCCAACACTCCAGCATCTTTCAATAAAGCG